CTGGTTTGTGATGTGTTTAGTAACAATTACTCTAGTAAAAGTAAAATGTGAGAATGATACCATCAGAATCGAGAAAACGAGCTAGGTTTTTGCGCAAAATACAAAACTGGCCTAAAATGAGTGATAATAATCTTTATATGGTGTTCAAAACGCTTAAAACAAAAAACTTCCTGTTATCGTGGAGTAAAACTGGTGCTAAATGTATCAAACACTCAATTTTTCCTATGTAGATTGCACATTACAGGGAAAAGAACAATAATTTCTAGTCTTGAAATAAACCTTAATCCAGTGGTATTATAATTTAAGGACGAATAGATGAGACTCAGGATACAATATATTGGATTCTTGCGACAAATCCATCCACCCACATAGTTACAAAACATCTCTATAGTTGAAGCCAGTTCGCAAAGAGCACCTTAACCATTACCAAAAGCAATCTGAAGACCGTCAAAAGTCTATTTGCCTCCATTTAGGGATATGAGAAGACGAGTAAACCATATCCATTTGAACGAACGTGGGTCTCCGCTTTTCTAGTTCATAGCCAAAGTAACATATAAAGTGCTTTGACAAATTAAGTAATTATGTAAACTTTTTTACACTCGATGTTATAACAACAAATACTAAAAAGTTGGGACCAGTTTTCGAATTATTGCCAATTATAATTGGTAGGTGTATGGAACTGGATAACATTCATTGTGATCTTTTCCTTTTTTGTTTTGATAACCCTGGATCCACGAGATTCTTATCACATAAGTAATATTCGTGCTTCTTTGGACAGCATCAGTGTACTTCCGTATGTACGAAGTATTTCATTCTTCACAACCAGTGTACAAAAGAATCTACCACGAAACTAATCTTTCCTGTCCAACTTTCGTACAATCGGTTTCACTTATTTCGAGAACCACCAAGTTAATTTACCTCATTTTCGTAGCTGTCTGATTGATCGATCTCATACATTGTCCGGACATTCCATGTACCTATATTATTTATTGCTATTGTTGTTAGAAGGGTATAAATGTTTTAAATCTTCTTCTCTTGGTCAGTGTTTTTTCGCATCCTTGCTAACTACATGCCCAACTATCCTCATTTCCCCGGGCTTGGGAACTGCAGTAACCCTAGAAAAGTTACAGGAGGAGTTAATTTGGTCATTAAATACTGCTAATTTAAGAGTCTCCTCTACTTTAGGTGGCAACATTTTACAGCCATAAAGTGAAACAGGGACAACTTGTGAAGCATCCCCGACTATTAGTATGTAGACGAATATTATGCCGATGCTACATGTGACACGGTTGGAGAAAGCCAACCAAGGTTTCTGATAAAGCTTACAAGATGAGTGAAGTGGCCGACGCACACAAATTCTTCATTCACTATAATCGATCTATAGGTTGAAGCAGACCAGGTTGTGTTTGAAAGAAGAGAAATGAATCCCCAGAAAGCTTGCATTGATACTCAACACGATCAGAAGATTTTGTCCTTTGACAGCGTCTTCAACAAACAGGACTGTGTCATTTACGTATTCTAATTCAACAAGTTAGTTTCGTAATAGATCGATTCCTAATAAGTCAGATGATGAAATCGCTGTTTCTAAAAACGTGTCTGTGATAAAATTGTGTATAAACGGTGGCAGCGGACAGTCCTGATGCCTTTCAAAGACAGACACTGTTATAAAACATGTTGATCAACTCAGACACATATGTCAAACCCTTTACAGCTGATGTTTCACCTAGACAGTTGAACTCTATCTATGTCAAGAAATATAATTAGTTGGCAGCTGGTAGATATTTCTGTGTCCCAGAACGTGACGAAGGGCAAGAATTTATTCTACACATTCCCATTCAAGTCTCAAACCATCCTGGTTCGTTCTTCATGAGCCCCAGTTAAGTATTGGATGGTAACTGAGACTAATGTTTTAGATAATATATTAGTCAAACTGATTTTCCTGTGGTTAACACAACAGGACTTCTGATATTTCCTATAAACTAGAATGATCAACGACTGTGTCCAGTCAGATAAGATTACAGCGAAACTATAAGTTATGGAGGAACCAATCAGATTCAAGACAGATCTCGGATTTTAGTGCGAAATCCATTCAATTATTTGGCTAAATATCATTTTGGTATTACAGCTGTGGTCAGTTCGTGATGAAACGTTAAATATAATTCATAACACTAACGTTCAGTTGTGAGCCTTAACCCTAGTTCCTTACACTAACATGTAACCCTAGTAAGTAGGTGGACATTCCAAGGTCATTATAGCGTGCCTCAAAGATTGTCCATATATTATAGTCTCACCAAGATTACTTCCAGTCCCTAAACTCAAACTGCTATCCAAGATAATCAAACTTCCAAAAAACCGGACCACCATCTTCACAGAACTACGGAGTTAATTTATCAAAACCTGGATTCTCTCAGTTTAGATTAGTCATGGATTTTTCAACATCACTAAGAGTCGAGGAGCATATGTTGGTATCCCATTCAGGTTGCTTGGTAACAGTAGACAACTGGAGGTAGCTGGAAAGCAGTTAAACTGTTCTTCAAAGTTTACCATCCATCGTCCCAATACATTGGGCTGGGTAGAACATTGTTCGATCTTTTCCGCAATAAATTCACTAACTACTGGATTTTTGGTTTTTTCATGAGTTTTGTTCCGAAATAGTCTCACTGATAGCTGAATATTTAACATCAGTTTCCTCGATGAACCGTAAAAAATATGTGGTTTTACCTATCGCCACTACCTTATCTTTTCCATTTCTCCTTCATTACTCATAGCTGCTCTCGACGAGACTAAACTTCTTGTCCGTTCACATTGTCACTGTGTGCGAAATTACATCGTTAGATAAATGATAGTTGTCTAGTCGATAGCAGAACGCAACTTCTTGATAAAGGCACTAAAAAGAATACCTTTTAGTGGATTGAAATATCATATTCGAAGAAAGTATCTTTTAGCTTTTAGACCCCCAAATGCCCTGGTACGGTCGAGGGTGGGGAGAGTCAACTCTCCCTCTCCAAATGCTCTCACATGGCCACGTGCATACAACCACTGACAGGGAAGTCCCACTCAATGCCTTCTCGCGGCATTACTGTTCTTTACGAAATTGAGAAAACGAAACGCGAATATCCGGAGCTTTAACCGGTTTAGTGGGTATAGAGGGTCTACACAGAAGAGTTGAAAAACCCTGATTCCAAACAAATGATGCACGTGGACTCCAGTATATTGAGGGAACAAATTGTGTGCGAACCAATCGTTGGTCACCGGCAACCATGAAACTGCATCTCCCTACGTCGCTCCACTGCCTTGTGGACCAGATCGTTAGGTCAAAGGCTCCGGGTGTGGCCCCCTAAGAAAAAAACCACCGGCTTCAGTTTCGGCACCCGGGCAGTATTACAGCCCTCACACAAATCGAACGATTTATGTGGGGCAGATCTATTTGGTGCCTCCTTGTACCAATGTTTATGTGTTTAAATATATAAATAAATAAATTTATGTTTTGTTTTCGACAAGCATTTACTAGTCCTTTAAGATGTAAATAAAATATGATACAAAAAAGGATACGTCCTGGTACCAATGGACTAATATTTACGAACGCAAAGCTTAACTTCGATTGATAAAAGACACAATCCGATTTGATTATATGAGGACCAAATTTAAAATCCACAGACTGTATAGCTATTTTTGCAAATAAAATTGGACAACAGCAAAAAATGTTTAATATAGCTGGTTTAAAATAAACTTACATGATTATTTATTATTATTATTATTATTATTATTATTATTATTACTATTATTAATGGCTTTGAGTCATTTTTATTAAGGATATAAATACATAAACGAAGATAAAAATAGTGTTAACCTGAGATCAGGGTTATAGAACAGCTGAATAACTGACTTGGTTGAGACATTGTAACACTTGAAATAATAAAATTAGTAAGAAGTAACTTTAGGCATGTGGAACAAGCAACAACACGAATGAGTAATATAAAATGGTTTGGCAAAATCAACATGAATACAAAGCCATCGTTTAGTAGAAAATGATCACACATATGACTTAATTTTCCAGATGTTGGCATTTTGACAGAACATATTCGCTGTATCAGCAAACCAATTTTTTGATCTGCTCATAAATTTCAAGGGGACACATGCAACTACAGGTAATTAAGTTTATTGTATTGATTTCAAGATGAAATGAGAGGAGATGCCTTGGTGTGTAGGCATGGAGATTAGATGCAACTACAACTCACTGAAAGAAAATAGCAGTCGCTTATAATTGATAAAGACTGATAGGATGCGGTAACTCATGCAATGCTTCACATTGAGGTTATCTATTTCGGATAAATTTTGGGTACTTATTGTAAAATTAGATAACAAAGCTTGTGGTTTGAAACCTGAAGCATTGATTTCAGTAACATTGAGATGAGAGAAAAAAATGGATTAAAATCAGAAGCGAAGAAGAAAATAAGTAGACGAGTAGCATATAATGAGAAAAACAAGTCAGTTAGAAATACCATCAGAAAGAGTTCTTTCAGTTAATGGAGTTCTCATCAGTTTCTATGAAGAATGCAAATTAAACCACAATGGGATTGCTATTACCTTATGTTCTCAATTATTTCTGATCATGTTTCAACCCACTGAGTCCTACCATCTACAGGACCTCAAGTGAGAAGTTCTACACAGCCTCCTTCCATACTACGGTGTTGAGTCATAAACTGACTATTCGCTTTATCTACCCAGTTTCAAGGTTCACAAATCGCTGAGATAACATTTGTAACACATGTACAAGCTACCGGAGTTAGTATTTTAAAGTAATGATATCGACTGAATTATTGTCGATGTGCTATAACACACATTGCTAAACCTTAGCATTACTAACATGGCGTTACCACGGATGTCAGCAATTCTTTGGAGACAAGAACAATGGAACGATTCCCGAACATCCTTAACTCGGAGGCCAGGTTTCACAAGTGCAGAGTATGAATACTTGGCTTGAAAGAGTTTCTGATAGTTAAGATGCAGCTGCCACTTCAATCTCGTTAGTAATCTCCGACTACCAAACTTCTCAATCAGTACGCAAACTTTTTAAGAATTTAAAACTGCCGTCAAACTTACGGTTAGTTGAAGTAGACTGAAGTGTCTCACAAAACCGCAAGAGATGTGACCCGCTATTTCCAAGGCACCATGCAAATCCTGATGGACTGACTACTAGACTTAAACCTAACTCGGTTCGGTATTGTGATTGCAATGGAAGCCTCAACCAATTCACCTATGTCAATCGCTTTGGGATGAGACGTCCGTTAGTCATTAAAAAGCAAGGTAAGCTAAGTGAAAACAAGGACATAATCAGAGTCCGAATAGGTACTCCAAAAAGAGCGGCAGTCCGATGTACAACCATACAAAGAGTAGTTGATAGGGATTTGACCAATATGAGTTCAGGGATGAACTGGAGAGGAAGGAGGTAAGGTAGCACATTAGTGATGCCCTGTTACGGTCGAGGGTGGGGAGAGTCAACTCTCCCTCTCCAAATGCTCTCACATGGCCACGTGCATACAACCACTGACAGGGAAGTCCCACTCAATGCCTTCTCGTGGCATTACTGTTCTTTACGAAATTGAGAAAACGAAACGCGAATATCCGGAGCTTTAACCGGTTTAGTGGGTATAGAGGGTCTACACAGAAGAGTTGAAAAACCCTGATTCCAAACAAATGATGCACGTGGACTCCAGTATATTGAGGGAACAAATTGTGTGCGAACCAATCGTTGGTCACCGGCAACCATGAAACTGCATCTCCCTACGTCGCTCCACTGCCTTGTGGACCAGATCGTTAGGTCAAAGGCTCCGGGTGTGGCCCCCTAAGAAAAAAACCACCCGCTTCAGTTTCGGCACCCGGGCAGTATTACAGCCCTCACACAAATCGAACGATTTATGTGGTGCAGATCTATTTGGCGCCTCCTACCTATGTTCATGTGTTTAAATGATAATAAATAAAAGATAGATGACTGTGACAGAAGTAGGTGCTGGCCAGAAAAAGATTATTTATGGAACGTTTCAGAAAAGTCATTCTTATCTGACCTGGGACAACGAGTTTCATTTGATCACAAATGACTCTGCTCTGAGCCTAGATGCCCGTACCTAGGTATTTAAATCTCCAATTAGCACTACCATATAATTGTCGAATGCGCTTCCAAGAGATTTTATTGTTGATAGTTCTCATCCTTGATTCCAACCAAACTGCTATTTACCATTGCATAGGCAGATATTTAGAAGAGACATTACATACCATGCCATTTTCTTCCTATTGTTATGAACTTTTCTAATCCTAACATCACATAAACGACTGCTAATGTGGATCCAATCGATTAGTGATGGCTCTAATCTGGTGCTAAAGGAAACACTAACGCCAGTCAAACCGGATGAAAATAATAGCCCCCAGATAAATCCACATAAAACAAACTTTTCAGATAGGCAGATGAAGAACGAATTCGTCTTTAAACATGGTTTTTTGGATAAAGAGCAAACATTAATGTTAAGACCTTTCAAAGACCTAGTCAAACCTATATGCTGACCAATCTACATCAGTTTGAGGACGTTGAGGGTGGATAATTTAAATAATACAGGCGGTTTTAAGAAGTCTGATCTATACATCACATTCAGTGGTAGCATTCCGAATTTCGACTAGACAGAGACTTAAGATAGTTTAGGGAGGATAGTACTTTCAACACATACAAGGTACCGAGGGGGTTGAGAAATAGAAGTAAACACCGAATGGAAAGAAAATGGAATGGGAAAGTAAAGTAAAACAAGTATACTTGAACATAATGGATAGCAATTATCCTTTGAGCTAAAGAGGACGCAAAGTAAATATATCAATCTTTTCATAATTTTGGTTACATTTGCATAAGAGCTAGGACACTTTTCGATGGCAAAAACAGATGCAAGTGGTTTTCTTAAGGGATCACTCCTTAAACTTGAGATCTAGGGGTCTAATCCACAACGGGGTGGAGCGGCGTTAAATAACGTCCTATGGTAGCCGGTGACTAAAAATGAGCTTATGTGACATTTGTTTCCTTAGAATTCTGAAGTTACTGTGCACAACTGATTCGGAATCCGTTCCCCAACTCGCCCAACAACCCAGTTAAAGCGCCGGATGTTCGCTTTTCGTCCTCTCATTTCTGTAAACACACCCATTGCATGAGTAGGGCTTCTGTGGCAGTGGCTATTAATGCATGGCCATATGAGAGCATTTCAAGAGGTGGAACGGACTCCCCCTAGACTTTAGTCGTACCAGGTGGTTTGAGGTTAAACACTCAAAACACCTTAGCCATCTAGCGAGCTTCCTCAGTTAGATGTGACTGTGCACCGGACAAGTAAGTGTCTGTTCACTCCATGATGTTAATACGCATGTGCACAAGAATAGAGGTGAATCCACACTCACACGCACGGACATACAACTACACAGAACGCCGCTGACATATCTCCAGTTAACAACGTGTACTCAGCCAAAATCCATTATGCACTGAGATCTGATTCATTCAGCAAGTTTCCCAACGCATGCTCATCCAGCTATGCAAAGGGAGACTAAAAATGAGCTCAAATTGATGACACCATGCACAGATCAAGCAAACACAAATATATTTTTATACATAAATATACATCACTGGAGTAGTCCAGATATATGGGTGGTGACTTTGGTCAGATGAATAATCTATTAATTAACAATAAGCCTAGACTTCTCATATACCAAGTGCCCTTGTGACAGCATGAGATCTGTTTGGACCCGATCGACTCATTTGATAGTGAATTTACAACATGATAACAATAACCCCCATCAATGGAGATAGGTTACAGTATAAAATATTTTTTCCTGAAACTAAAGACAGATATTAAAGGGTTTGTGATCAGTAACCACGGTAGATTTTCTTCCAAGTAAAATTTTGTGGAATTCTTACACTTCAAAAGTGAGAGACAATCCTTCCCTCTCGACCCAACTACTGTACTCAAACATTCTTAAAACAATGGGATATTACAGTGTCCATATTGTAACAGAGGGCATCGGCAGCAAATAGAAAACTGAGACTAGGATAATAATATATAAAGATCATATCATATATTAGTATTGGCATGTGTTTTGCACCTTCTAAGTGCAAAACACCTTTACACGACTGACAGGACCGTGATCCTGCACTCACCCTGAGTAGTGAACAGGCAGTAACTAATGTTATATCCGGTGAAGATTAAATTACAGGTAACTTCCAAGGACTATTCATGGACTAATATTCTATAAATATTCTTATTGTATAACTACTCAACAATTACACTATGTATATTTATATTCCTCTTATTATAAGCTTTATTTTGACCTATATTTTATTACTGTACGATTTACTGTCCCTAAATTATGCTCAGTCTATTAATTACTGTCCCCCTCATTTACAGCCACTTTTTGGCTTATTTGTGCACAAATATTATTTCCTATTTTATGGTACGTTGTGGTCTGTCTGACTGATATATAAACTGGGTATGTCTGAAATAAACGATCTGGTCTGATCTGCTCTGATTCGATTCATATTACGGAAGCTGGTATTGCGTTCTGGACTCAAGTGGAAGGGCTCGGAGGACATAGGACCAATAAGAACGCTAAACTGCCCACACCGGTTGAACGTCATTGGTTAGCCTAGTGTGAAGGTTCGTATAAGTCGTATTCGGATTGGTAGATAAATCGTGTGATAGAAGAGCCAGACATTCAAGGTCATAACAATTAATAATAATAATAATAATAATAATAATAATAATAATAATAATAATAATAATAATAATAATAGCAATAGTAATAGCAACAGTAATATTATAATAATATGATAATGATATTATAATACTATAATAGTAGTGATAATAATGCAATATATAATGTAGTATAATATAATGATAATAATGGTGGAAACAGAAAGGTACAAACAGAAGAATTCTTTCAGTTAAGGAAGTTACAACCACTTTTCATGAAGAAAGTAAAAGATTATAGCAGGATCGCCACTAACTTCTATTCTGATCCATTTCTGATAGTCTCTAGCCACTGTGTTGCACCATCTCTCGGAGATTCGTGAAGGACTGGCTTCTGTTGGTCCTTCACGACTCCTTAGTTGGGGTCCTAGAGATGGTGCAACACAGTGACTAGAGACGTTATTAAACATGGCTCAGAGTATAAGTTAGTGACGATCCTGCCGTAACTTTCTTCTACTTTCTCCATAAAAGTGATCCTAACTTCTCTAAGTGAAAGGATTTTTGCTGGTTGTATTTTTCGTAACTGAACTGTTTCCTCCACTATTGTTCTTTCACTCCCATAAATTAATTTTGGTTCGTTGTTGTTCTTTATTTTACTATACACACTTTACATCATCTATCTCTTCACAACCTCATTGTTGTTGTGCGTCGCATAAGTATTTGGTGCCCCATCGTACCAATGTTTGTGTTCAAATAAATACTAAATAATTGACCTCAACATATGAAACGATTTTTGACATTCAGTAAACCAATTCCATTTCGCACTTTTGAACAGAAAATAACCGTGTGTTTGCCAAATTTTTAAATTCTAAAGTAAACCGAGTTATCGATGAGCTAAAGGATTTATACCAGTAGAATTACCCATTTTCGTCACAGCTCCTAATTTCAAAAATTAGCAAGATGTGGATTCTAACCAGAAATTTCGCGTTACTTTGTGGCTGACTGATCATTGTGGAACAATCACATGAATGGAATTCATCACTCTACATCAACTTCATTGACTACGAAAAGGCATTTGATAGCGCGGACAGAACAACACTATGGAAGCTTCTTCGACACTACGGCGTGCCTCAGAAGATAGTCAATATCATACAGAGTTCATATGATGGATTACACTGCAAAATCGTGCATGGAGGACAGTTGACAAAGTCGTTCGAAGTGAAGACCGGTGTTAGGCAAGGTTGCTTACTCTCACCCTTTCTCTTTCTCCTGGTGATCGACTGGATCATGAAGACGTCAACATCTGAAGGGAAGCACGGGATACAATGGACATCTAGGATGCAGTTGGACGATCTGGACTTCGTAGCTGATCTGGCCCTTCTATCCCAAACGCAACAACAAATGCAGGAGAAGACGAACAGTGTGGCAGCAGCCTCAGCAGCAGTAGGTCTCAATATACACAAAGGGAAAAGCAGGATTCTCCGATACAACACAGAATGCACCAATCCAATCACAATTGACGGGGAAGATTTGGAAGATGTAAAAACCTTTACATATTTGGGCAGCATCATTGATGAACAGGGTGGATCTGATGCAGATGTGAAGGCGCGGATCGGCAAAGCAAGAGCAACATATTTACAACTGAAGAACATCTGGAACTCAAAGCAACTGTCAACCAACACCAAGGTCAGGATTTTCAATACAAATGTCAAGACAGTTCTACTGTATGGAGCAGAAACCTGGAGAACTATGAAAGCCATCATCCAGAAAATACAGGTGTTTATCAACAATTGTCTACGCAAAATACTCCAGATCCATTGGCCGGACACTATTAGCAACAATGTACTGTGGGAGAGAACAAACCAGATCCCAGCGGAGGAAGAAATCAGAAAGAAGCGCTGGAAGTGGATAGGACACACATTGAGGAAAGCACCCAATTGCGTCACAAGACAAGCCCTCACATGGAGTCCTCAAGGCCAAAGGAAAAGAAGAAGACCAAAGAACACATTACGCCGAGAAATGGAAATACACATGAAAAAAATGAACAAGAATTGGATGGAACTAGAAAAGAAGGCCCAGGACAGAGTGGGTTGGAGATTGCTGGTTGGCGGCCTATGCTCCATTGGGAGTAACAGGCGTAAGTAAGTAAGTAAGTTGTGACTGACACTATGTTTAACGACGATAATTAGCTCTTCCAGTAGTAGACGAGGACAATACTGTAAAACACAACAATGTTAGCTGGACTAAGTCAAAGGGTATTTTGCAAATAATAGTTTCGATTTTGCATCAACCGAGGCGACTCAACAAAATTACTGAGAACCAAGTAGCAACAAATACCTATTTAATTTTAGTTTGATACTTCAGTAGTGACTTTATTATCAAATAACTTAACTGAATATTATTTCTAGTGCCCAAGAGTGATATGATGAGTGCATGTTTTAAGGAGCCGTAATCAGTGTAGTCGAACGATATTGAAGATCGATCTTTCAAAGGTAGTTTGATAGTTTTCGAGTAATGTGGGTTTACAGAAGTCTGGTGTGAACCATCGGCTGATGACAATATGTTTATTGTGAGAACCCGAAAGTTCTGAACCACTTTTCTTATGCGGTCAAGGGTGTACACCACTAAGGGGTACCAGGTTGAAAATATAACAATATCAACTACCTTTGTATCAGTTTTCTGATTGGTATCAGTCGGTGGTAAGCAGATTCCTTAAACTAAGATCTAATTGATTTTACTAAGTTGCTCCATTTGTAAGTTTTTTTAAAAATTTTTAAATATTTTAGTAAAAGTAGTAGCCTTCTTAAAACAACGATTTTGATAGAATTGTATAACTATTTTTATAGTTGTGAACTCCCTATTACTGAGTAAAATGAAGGACGAAGTAGGTTTGAATATATACACTTACAACGAGGATACCCACTGTCAGACATTGGAAATAAATCGAATCGTCTATGATATTCCACAGGCATTGATCTTCTTACATGATAAATTTTAGGAATAATAGATGTTGTTGAATTAACCATGGTAAATGGACCTATTTCACATATTAATAAACCAGGACCAGGATTCATCTGTTCAGTGATAATTTGACCCCAAGGATCCACAACTAAACTATGCCCATATGAAGATCGTCCTTCGTTATGTTTACCTTCCTGCACACAAAGAAATCACAAAGAAACCTTCATAAAAATACATACGGATTGTGAGTATAACAAAGAATATAGGCATTACTCTAAATTCATGTATATGTTGATATATTCATCATTGATAGCAGGATAATGTTTGGGGAGATAAAGACAACTGAGTTCCATTTTGAATATTTGACAATTTAACTTCACCTGAAGCATTGATGCTCTCTCGAAAGAGGCACAACAAGCACCCATAAGATGAAAAACCTACGACTCCGAGATTACCATAGCATTTTTCGAGACAAAAAGTGGATTATAATGAACATCATCCAGTGCTACCCATCTCCATCAATGGCAGCAGCGATGATAAACACCATCTCTATTGAATGTTGCAGTCCATCCTAGAAAAATACTAAGGAAGCAATCTGACGCTTCTGATGGGGAACCTAAGCACTAAATCCAGCGAAACCAACAATTTGTAAAGACGCATCAATGGGAGAAATGGAGAGGGAGAAAGCAGAAAGAATGGTAGGTCTAGGTGGTTTCAATAACACAGTTATAGGTGGTAGGATTTCTTAATACAAACATATGCATAAACCTACATAGGTTTCGCCGGACCGCAATATAGAAATCTAGGTTAACCAAGCAACAATAAATAAGAAATTCCGAAAGTCTACAAAAGACGTACGAACAAATAAAGAAGCTGATATAGCTTCAGCATTGCGCAATTAGACAAAATTACGAAAGTTTAATACAGCCTTCCTTTCAGATCCTAACAAGTTACAAGACTTAAAAGATCGTCTAAGAGAAACCACTATGAGGAACGACTGGAAAGAAACTAAAAAAGCAGTGACTTCAATATCGTAGGAGGTGCAACTGGAGAGTATCTGGAACTTCAAACAAGTACCAACCAACAACAAAGTCAGAAACTTTAATACAAAGGTCGAGATAGTTCTATTGCACGGGGCTGAAACTTGGGTAACTACTACAACCACCAATGGTGCACATGGGCTTCAGTATCCTGTGGGAACAAATGGCGTATGAACCAATCGTTGGTCACCGGCTACCATGGGATTGCATCTCCTTACGATGCTCTATTGCCTTGTGGGTTAGACCTTTAGGTCAAAGGCTCGGGGTTTGGCCCCCTAATATAACCACCCGCTTCGGTTTGGGCACCCGGGCAGTATCGCAGCCCACACGCAAATGATGGACTCTCTATATCTATGGGAACTACTTTTCTCGCTTCGAATAACAATCAAATGATTCAAATTATTATTATTATTATTATTATTATTATTATTATTATTATTATTATTATTATTATTATTATTATTATTATTATTATTATTATTATTATTATTATTATTATTATTATTATTATTATGTCTAACAACAACTATGAGAAGAACATTTAACGCGGCAAAACTGCGAATATCCTTCACTAGTAGAAACTTATTTTCTGCATCCATAAAAGATAAGCTTCCGCGTCTGGTCGCCTCCATGTGCATCTACCAGTTCACCTGCTCTTGTGGAGCAAGGTACATTGGCCGTAGCCAGCGCTCGCTTTCGACTCGGGTGAAAGGAAAGCAGTTAGGAGTTCTATACTTGAACACCTAATCGACTATAACCATTCAACGGATCCACAAATTGACTTGAAGGTTGTTTATATGATTCGTTCAAATCTACCCAGATTTCTTCGTATCCAACTTTTTAAAAAAATAGCCGAAGCTCTTACCATCCAGGAGCTTAAACCAGAACTATGCGTACAAAAGAAGTACGTCTTATCGTTATCGTTACCTTGGCCTTAATTATTTTGATTATTATTATTATTATTATATTATTATTATTTACTACATCATTATTCACCCTCTTTTATTCCTACTCCGTCTATACTTATTTTTTCGGTTTATACAGCAGCTCGTCTTTGGTGGAAATTCGACTCTATCTAAACGTTTTCGAGTCACTGTCTGGTTGAAAATTGTATGTTACCACCGAATATGAGTACTGAAGCAGTTTTTCTGAAACCACATGAACCATTCAAACTGGCTGCCTTCAACGTTCGCACATTTATGCAGGTCGGACAACAGATAGGGCTGGCTATGTCTTTGGAAAGTCTTAATATCGATGTCTGCTGTCTATCCGAGACTCGTATTCAAGACTCTGGTGAAGTACTGCAAATTCGATCTCCATCTGTCGCTTCGAAAAGCTTGTTTTACGTGCGCTTATCCGAGGGCCCTGTGGCATCTTCGTCCGGTCTTGCTGGCGTTGGTGTCGCACTAAGCGCTAGAGCTGAGGCAGCACTAGTCGATTGGATCCCCATTAACAGTCGGTTATGTGCTGTTAGATTAGAAGGTCCCAGCAAAGTGAGAAGAAATCGGCGTGAGAAACGATGTCTTCCCGTCATCTCCGCCTATGCTCCGACAGATTGCAGCCCGGATGCAATCAAGGATGAGTTTTACCACCAGTTATCTGTTCTTCTCCAGAAAGTGCGTTCGACAGATATTGTAGTACTAGCCGGAGACTTGAATGCTCAGGTCGGGCGTCTAGGCACAGAAGAGAGTCGTTTAGGTGGCCGATGGGGACTTGTTGGTCGCAGGTCAGATAACGGGGACCGTCTACTGCAACTGCGCACAGACCACAACCTGTTTCTGGCTAGCACTTACCTCCGGATCTTTTTAAAGACGGTGGTGACTTTCTGACTAAGGAATTGACGACGTTGTTTACAAAGGTTTGGGAACTAGAGAGTGTACCAACGTCATGGAATGAGTCGAGAGTAGTCCTTATCTTTAAAAAGGGTTCACGTCGTTCCTGGGACAACTATCGGGGGATAAGTCTACTACCTTTGGCGCCTTCGTGATGTTAGTCTGGCTGTAAAAGGTCGGACCTACAATGCGTCGGTGAGAGCAGTTTTGCTCTATGCTTGTGAAACCTGGCCTCTCCGAGTTGAGGACGTTAGACGACTCTCTGTGTTCGATCATCGTTGTCTCCGAAGGATTGCTGACATCCAGTGGCAACACCATGTCAGTAATGCAGAGGTTCGGCATCGTGTGTTCAGGCACAGAGATGATAATGCAATTGGTGTCACTATCTTGAAACACCGACTTCGGTGTCTTGGACATGTTCTACGAATGTCGTCCCAGAGAATTCCACGTCGTGCATTATTTGCTGACTCTGGGACTGGTTGGAAGAAGCGGAGAGGTGGTCCGTATATGACATGGTGTCGTGGGATGAAAGAAAGCTGTAAAGGACTGGCTTCTGTCGGTCCTTCACGATTCCCTGGTTGGGGTCCGAGAGATGGTGTTACACAGTGGCTAGAGACGTTATCAGATATGGCTCAGAATGGAAGCCAGTGGCGATCCTGCTGTAACCTTCTTTTACTTTCTTCATAAAAAGTGGTTGTGTCTTCCTTAACTGAAAGATTTCTTCTGATTGTACCTTTCCGTTCCCTCATTATTATTATTATTACTACACTACCTTACACCAACCTCTTTGTTATTGTTCTCTTTTTTTCAAGCTCCTTACCTTTTTTCCTTTCTCTTCGAATTCTCATTGTTTTGTGTGGCGCATATATATTGGCGCTCTCTTGTACCAATATTTGTGTTCAAATAAATAGTAAATAATAAATAAATAACAACCACCAATGAAACTGTGCAAATATTTATAGACAGTTGTTTACGCAAGATACTCAACATCCGTTGGTTGGATACCAACAGCAATTACCTACTATAACAGAGAACAAATCAGCTTCCAGATGAAGAGTAAATTAGAAACAGATGCTGGGAGTAGATAGGACAAACACTGATAAAACCATCAAACTGCATCACAAGGTAAGTTCTAACATGCGATCCTCAAGGGAAAAGGGAAAGAGCCGAAGAGGGGATGGAAAGCATTCAGCAACAGCTGGAGAGTCCAGGGGGGAATTGATTGGAGATCATCAATCGACTTGCCATCCTTACCAAGTACCCTATTCCTAACTCAGGCATTGCTTATTCCGTGGTCCCAAAATGCACGAGCAATACATCGTGGACACCTATAATCGCATACACTACAAATGCCGCGAGTTGGAAAGAGCCAATCGGACCTTCTTAATCCGTACCGAGATTTCGTTGGACACCAAACTATCAGTACTAATGAGACTTTCAAGATAAGTGAAGCAGTCAATGCGTCCAGCTATTCCACTCTCTATCACTAATTCAGGCAATGACGCACGTCAATTTTGAAGTAACATTTCAAATTTGGAGGGAGAAAACCCTATCCCAAATATGCTTGCATTGCTGCCTAAGGCAATCATAAGATTATATTTTGTAAACGCTCTCACTAAACAGAACTATATCGTCTGTACATCCTAAGTCAACAAGTGAATCTCCCTGTAGAAGACCGACTCCTGAGAAGTCAGCCGATGAGATATTATCCCTAAAAGCATTCTATGACAAAGTTAAATAAAAATGGAGAAAGACAACCCTGAAGAACAACACTTGAAGTAACCAATTCCGATAAGTTCTCAATGAGCCCTGACTCGACCAGTAGTGTTCGGGTAGATAGCCTGTACACCGTTAATGTACTTCTGAAGGACTGCAACACGACCTCACAACCAACAGTCAAACGCCGCCTTAAAGTCAAGTATGTCCATGTTCCGGAGTCTGCCGAAGAATTATTGAGGCTAATATTTTAGACATTATATTAATCCAACTGATTCCTCTGTGACTGACACGAGAGGATTTTTGCTCTTTCTTATAAACTGGGACGATCAGAGATCGAGACCAGTCAGATGGGATTACGTTTAGCTCCCAGACTTCAGCTAAGATTTCAATTAATCTAACTGCTAAAACTTGATCATCATTGTTAAAATCTCAAGGGTTAGTCCAACAGGTCTTAATGCTTTCTCTCACTACAGATTACTCATAGCCTCTTCAACCTCACTAAGTGTTGGATGACTAACATCAATTTACCATTCAGATTACTCGGAGATGTTGGGTGATTGAAGTGTGGTTGACGACCAGTTGGACTGTTCCCCAGGGTTTTATGCCCATCCATTCAATCTTCTGGAATGAAAACGAATAATATTCCTCAGATAGTTTCACTAAGAGATGGATTTTTAATACCCGTTTACTTGAAAAGTCTGAACAGTTATCTACTTTTAACTATCGCTTCTGCCTTTCCTATCTCTTCTGCTTTCGCTACCCACCGCTGTTCACGACCATTACGTAGGCTTGTTAACAGTCTATATTTAAGCTACCTCAGCTCCTCATAGTGTTTAGAGCCAGACGGGATGAGTTCCTGAGTATCCATCAGTTCTGCAGACGCTGCTTAAATCCGCTGATTCTTCCTAACCTTTTGGTTTAAATTATTTGTGAATAGCACTGCTGTTCATAGAGCTTTTTGGATATCATACTAAAGCATCGAGGCTACGGGAAGTAGCAGCGGAAACCTTAGATACTCGAAGGGTAAATCGTTCCGGTTCTTTATATTGACAAGACGAGGTCAGATGAATGAACATACTTCGATCCTGTTTGCGGATTTCAGAGTCGCGAAATGCATCGACGGAGCGAAATTCTGCATTCCTAGCTAAAGAAGTTTGTTTTCCTATTGGACACAAAGTTCGAAAATCAAACGCTCCAATATGTAGTTTAGAGCGTGGTTTCAAGAGACTGGGAATAACATTTCATGAGCTCAAATCATTAACAACTGTGGCGCGTGGAGACAAAGATAAGTGAGAATGGTTAGTTGTGGGGAAGGAAGAATTATAGAGAGATGAAGTGGGGGATCGATCGTGAACAAGATGATTTTAGGTACTATTAGAAGTATGGGGGCAGTTGTCACATCCTGGATCCTCACACTGTGGAAAGATATTTCTTATTGAGGGAGGTGAGAAAGAAGCTGAACTAGTGGTGGTCATAGCGACCTAGGTAAGTGATCCAAAGCCCAAGAGCCAAGTTCTTGAAGCCAGTCACACATGGCCTTTTTATGGGGAGTTTTTAATGTGTTAGCTCCGGACTTCAAAAAGTGAATACCTTACTTCTATCTTACCCCTCTATAGTCAACAGTACAACTTCGGCCTGGGGCCTTAAGTTACTGTTTTTAGTTCTATCGTTCTCCAACCGACCAGCTTGGCATGGTAGGGCCTAAAGGAACATATATTCCAGGTAATTTTGTTCATTTGAGTCATCACAATAGACAAATACGACAACCACGTCAAGATAGAAGATGCGGTAGGTTGGGTCACTCAGGGATCGGCTAAATGACACCGCGTCACAATACATATTCAGTATAATCCATTTTGAATCAATACACTAGTTCTTAATCATATATCAGCTGACTAATATAAAATACACTGTGAAAACTAAAAATTGATGCGCCTTAATTGATCTCAAGAAAACATGATGTACATAATTTAGACTTGCATCAAACAAACAACCAACATAGATACCTCCGGCAGTTAAATTAGCAGGAATATATTAAATTACTAGAAAAAAGGTACAAATTAGATGAGACAGTTCATCAGAATGAAAAGCATAGGAATGAGTAGGTTACCTGGGCTGCAGCAACTACATAACACTGATTCTCAATAGCTCTGGCTCGAATCAACGTATGCCAATGACCAGCTTCTCCTGTACGTGTAGTATAAGCAGATGGATAACTTAGAACATGAGCATTCTTAGCATATCGAAGATGAGATGCTAGTTCAGGAAATCGCATGTCATAACACTAGGAAGAAATCGATTTATAATTAGGATATCTATATTATTTGAAAAGAACTTTTTAAATATTAATTATTGATTGAGCGTAAAACCTAAGAGGAATAGTGAAATACACATCTGACAAAGAACTTGTAATAAAAACAACTATACACTCGCACAAGCACTTAAATCTCAACTGCTGAGTTACAGGATCAGAACCCACCCCATCCACAAACATACGAACAACTTAGGGTCACTATTAACAGGCTTCATACAATAGACGTTCCAGATTACTGCATGATTTTGAAAGTGACTGCCAAATTACATAATAGGCATTAGTATCTTCATAAAATGGAATCGGTAAGAGTTGAACGCTCCGTATAAAATGTCTTTAGTCGAAACCAGATAAGCAGCTATGAATATGGTAAACAGACGTACAAGAAATCACGAGAAGCGTGTACCATGTCTGTCATCCGATATATTTCAGTCATACTGAAAATAAATATCGGATGGTGTTAATATCAATTCTTAAACCTTTGTCAAAAACAGTTCTTGGAGAACCAGTAAGTTTGGAGAACGCCAAATTACTCCTCAAAACATTGTATTTTCTTATCTCATTGGAACTGAACAGGCACATAATTCACTATTGAAACGGCAGCTACTAGCGAAATCCTTGAGATTTTACGTTGATTTTTACCTTTGAAGATAAAAGCTAAGTGATGCACATAAACTGAAGCATCTAACTTTATTACCACCTAACTTGTCTGAGATTCAACGAGCTGATGGTGTTAGCAGTCGAAAGGTCAGTCAAACTACCAGTGTCACTAATATTTGGTTTCAGAATATAATATTAGGACACCTCATTGGATGGCTTTTATTGGATGAATTGCGTCATAAACTTATCCAGTCATATTAACCTATATGAATACTGTAAAAGATATTTTTACACTATTTCTTTTGTCCCTCTGACCCCATCTATAATCTTTAATATTAGCTATGCAATTATTTTAGACTTGTAAAAGAAAAGAAGATTTTTTGCAAACTAGGTGGTCTTCACCAGGTGAATAACTAAGAGTAATACACATTTAGGAATATTTCTTAACCTGGAGTTTCAACTTAAAAGTAACGTATACTATTATGTGTCGATGTTCTGTTACTGTCTAATTTTTGACAAATTTAACATGACACCAGTAAAATTGTGTCAGATATAGACAAAATAATCACTGTTACGTACGATAGCTAGTCCCAAATTTCCAATAGGGGTGTTTTGGATTACGATTGGAGCCTCGGTACCAGCACATATCGCTTTCGACTCAAAAAACGATGATCGCGTACATGTTGACTACAAAAACAAATTTTTAATCGATGAGTTTAATTGTAAATAATCGACAAATGAGTCAGAATTAAATGATAATGTGGCAACGAACACTTATAAACAAAATACACGAGACGATGTTGAACCAATGGTCTATCAGGTAAATTTGTATTATAGTAAAATAGCAATGAACTGTGACTAGCAGATACATTGACTTAGGTGATGCTAATTCAATAGTAAAAGGAAAAATATAGAGTATATGGTAACTATTTTCGTACATTCAAGAGCTACGCTGTATTCGGTTAACAGTGCATGCTTTATTACAAACCTCTACAGGCAAGTTTATGGTTTAGAAAAAATGCTGAATAATCTGTTAAAGGCTTTTCATGTTACTGGATAGATTAAACGTATGTCAAATATCTCGCAGTCACCCTATAAAGTCAGATTAGTCTTATAACGGACATAAAATTTGGGCTATCAATTTAATTTACTGATGATAAACGACTTAAACATCAAAAGGAATTACAGTAGTATAACTCCACACGGCTGAACCTTACCAGAACCAAATACTTTATTTATCTATTTATTTATTTGAATACAAATAATGGTAAAGGGGCATGGAATACATATGGGCCACACAAGTCACATGATTTCCGTGTAGGTTGTGATAGTGCCTGAGTACCCAGACGGAAGCAGGTGGTTTTCTTAGGGGGCCACACCCCGAGCCTTTAACCTAAACGACTAATCCACAAGGCAGTGGAGCAACATCAGGAGATGAAGTCCCATGCTAGCCGGTGACCAACGATTGGTTCATACGCTATTTGTTCCTTCAGGATACCGGAGCGCACGTGTACCACCGGTTTGGAATGAGGGTTTTCTAACTCCCCTAAGTGGATCCTCCGTACCCACCAAGCCGGTTAAAGCTCCGGACATTCGCGTTTCGTTTTCTCAATTTCGTAAACATCAGTAATGCCACGAGAAGGCAGTGAATAAGACTTCCCTGTCAGTGGTTTCCAGTACATCAACATAAAACAATAGATAAGAAAGATTAATTATAGAAAACTGAATGAAATTAACTTCTGTATTGGGTGTAGTTTCGTTTGTACTTAAATTGGCATCGAATAAATGGACTTTATGATAAACGCCCACTATTTGACCATCTGAATTAATAACTATGTGAGAATTGTACAACTGATCATCGTTCTCTGTGATCTGGATAATTTGGAAAAAACTAACATGAAATTAACGGTTATACTTGTAAAAAAAAATTAATATTATTTGAGGGATTAACAAGTAACCAAAAATATAATTTTTTTTTAAATAATGTAGTAATTATTAGTCGCGAGTATTTACACTGTGGCTGAAAACAAAGAACGTGTTCTGACGGCAGTTTAGTCAACATACAAATTTTAGGATTAGTCAATTAAAGTTTTTCATATTTTTGTACACTGCTAAAAGCAGTCTTCTTAGAAATACTTTAAGATGCATGGCCTTTTATCCTTTATGGACTGCTAGTCGTCACAAGCCATTTTAGTCAAGGTAACTGAGCAGAGTTACACGTAGCATAGGAAGAAAACAAAACCTAATTCTCAATAAATCGAAATGACTCACGTACATATGACCCATACCTACCCGCATACATGAAGCATAAGTTACCTGACATTGACGAATACTAAGGTCTTCACTGGTAGAAAAGAGAAGAGCACAATAAAGAAGGGTAAAACCCACACAACTCGATCCTTAACAGTGAAGGGACCTCCTAAGCTTGAGTTGAACTTAAGTGATATGATCCAAGAACTGGTCGGAGCATCGGAGATGCACTTATCCCATATTTACTACTCTATGCCCGTACCCACTAAACCGGTTACAACGCAAGACAATCGCCTGTCATCCTCTCAACTTCGTAAACAACACCCTCGCCGCAAGAAGGCAGTGAGTAAGACTTCCCTGGCAGTGGCTGCATATATGTTGCCATATGAGGGCATTTTGAGATTAAGCTCCCTACCGTCAGCCGTACCTGGGCAGCGGGGGTCGTAACATGCATTAACTTCACACAAAGACAATGTAAATGTGCCAAATAATTGCAAGATAACTTAGTCATTTGAAAGATTTCACATTGCTTACCCTAATATGAGCACCACCAAGACTAATCCAAAGGCTTTCTCGAGAAGCTAAGGCACGGTATTTTGTTATCAAAGGTCCGTCTAACACTTCTGAAAGATCAAGTGTCTCCTCACGTGACCGACCAACAAAATCAAAGCATTCAGGGAGGAAAACGATCTGAATTTCTATTAATGATAAGATGTTCGATATTTAAACTGACCTTGACTCCTGATGCTATGGCCTGGTTAATATACTTAACCGCCTGGTTGAAATTCCGTTCCTTATCTGCTGTTGATTGCATTTGAACTATACCAACTTTTGTTGTCATGTTTCTTAGCAGTGTTATTCTCGAGGACTTGGCAACGCAGACAGCACCCCAAATTGCTTTCAGCGGAGTAAGTCGCATAAGATCAACGTCCAACGCGCCCTTCAAATGGTTCAAATGGTTGTGGACGGAATAGAAGAAGCTTTCGTTCAACAGGCTTCCGTGTCTAGTAGCAGTGGATCACGAATACCTACAGGCAGGAACCTGGGTATATTAACAATGAAAGAGGAAAAAGAAATTATTAAATCATAGTAAGATACTATCCTTAGTCCTTAAGAATAGATCAAGTTGCCTCTTAAAAGGACTCCTGGGAAGTCACTTGGACTAGCTCAGCCGGCAGCGAATTCCAGCATTTGACAACCCCTAAGGAGTAGAAGTTGTGTCTACAGTCCGTTCTGCTATGATGTGTCTCCAATTTCCGGGTGTTACCCCTTAGGTTTGTATTGGGACTAAGTTTAAGTAGGTGTTTAAGAGGATGTCCAGAAGTGTTAAGGACACTGTAAGCCATCAGAAGGTCACCTCTAAGACGCCTATACTCTAATGAGTAAAGGTCAAGTGATTAGAGGCGCTCTTCATAAGGTTTAGATTTGAGTCCTCGAACTGATTTCGTGGCTCGCCGTTGGATACGCTCCAAAGTGACCTTGTCTTTTTGGAGTGAGGGGGGAGTACTATGTTTCCGTACTCTAAATGGGGACGGATAAAACTGATGAAGATTATATGAAAAGTTCTTCTGTCGAAATGGCCAAAAATGCGCTTCAATGTTACCATTGCAAGGTTTGCTCGAAAAGCATTTTTGTCACAGTTAAAGTAAGACTTCGAATCGTGGGGCACCAGCACTCCTAAATATTTTTCGACTTGGGATACTACTAGAGAGGAGTTTCCTAAGTTGTAACTATAGTCTGCGACATGTCGCAGATGGACTACTTTACACTTTGAAGTGTTCAAAGTAAGCCCGTTATCGTCTGCCCAACTTTGAAGTCGAGTCAGATCCTCCTGAAGCGCCTGTATATCGTCTTGGTTGCGTATCTCTCTCCAAAGTTTCACGTCGTCGGCAAAAAGTAATAAGTCTAACGTTATGTGTTGAGGAAGATCATTTATATAAATCAAGAAGAGAAAAGCTTTTTGTACTGAGCCCCAGGGGCCCCCACTAGGACACTCCATAGCCTGAGATAAAGTGAAGTTAACCCTAACCTTAAAATGTCGATTTTTCAAATATGAAGTGATTAGAGGTGGTCTGATACCCAATCGTTTGATCTTTTTGATAAGACATGTATGGTTAACTTTATCAGGACTAACACAGGCCATCAGGCCTCCTGTCCTTCCCAAACTGAAACTGAAAAAGCTTTTGAGAAATCTAGGTAGATGATATCAACCTTCCCCTTATGATCGAGGAAGCTTGTTCATCTGTCCACCGCAGTCAGCAGGTTGGTTATACAAGATTAACCCTTCCTGAAACCATGCTGTTGGGGTGAGAAGAAATTTAAGGACAGTAAATAGTCATTTATACCATCGCATATCAGGGACTCCATGACTTTTGGAGGTATTGAGAGAAGAGCCACCGGTCGGTAACTTCAAGGTTCGCTGCGTCGACCTCCTTTGAAAATTGGTGTGATGTGAGCCAACTTCCAATTTTCCGGTAGTTTTCCTCGGCTGAGCGAGTGTGAGAACATCACGCTAAGCGGCGTCGTCAGTAATGAGGCTGCCTCCCTCAGTATGGCAGAATGAACCATATCCGGGCCAGGAGAAGTGTCGATTCTTAAGTGCTGCAGTTTCCGGAACACCAAGTCAGCGCTCGGGTTCACTTCGGAAAGTCTTTTTGAGTTGCAGATGAAGCTTTTGTCAGTATAGTTTATGTGAGTGGGTTGAAATATCCAAGAGTATTGTTCAGCCAAAAGATTAGCGGCATCGCCGTCGTTACTGCTCGGGCCGTTAGGACCTAGCAGTTGGGGAACTCCAGTTTTGGCTCGACGAAGAGAGGCTGCATAACGGAATAAGCCTTTGGATTGGAGACAAGTTTATCCGTAAGCTTTGTCTGGTACTAAAGTCTGTCTTCCCTTATAGCCTTCGTGCATACGCTCCTTATACGTTTGTATCGCCTGTACGCTCAATTGTACTCTGCCCAACAGTGCCTTTTGCGGCTTAGCAGGCGAAGAGTGCGGTTCTTGATGATTGTAGGTTGCTTGTAGCAATTGGAGACCGTTTGAGGGACTGACTACTTTGTAGCACATAAGAGCGTGTGCAGTAAGAAGTCCCAATGAGTATCCAAATCGAATTGAGGGTGAACATCTCAATCCTTCTGTTGTAGATAGTCCTGTAGAGCTGACACATCCAACCGTTTGAAACTCCAGCGCCTGTTGTTGGTGGGATATCTTAACTCACATTTGCTGACGAAACTGAAAGCTATAACGGCGTGATCGCTTTTTCCCAGGGGAGCCAGGATTGAGAGGTTGTCAAAAAGAAATTCTTCGTTTTTAAATACACAGTCTAAGCGCGATGGCGTCTGACTGTTCTTCCAACGAGTTACCGACTTCCCAAATACTCAATGAGGTTAAAGAACCGAGCTTCAGTTGAGTTTTTACCTCCAATATACGTATGTCCCGCGAAATTCACTCTAGGGAGATTGAAGTCCCCTATAATCAGGATATGAGTAAATCCGAGACGCGTAGAGATGTATAGTCCTTCCAGCATACGACTGCCATACTCGATATCGGCAGTGGGCTTCCTGTATATGACACTGACTAGGCACCTCGAGGTAGTAGACAATCTTACAGAGCACCATATGGATTCCTCAAGATTTTTAAACTTGAACCTCCAAGCAAGATCGTATGCATATGGCTACTCCACCCCCAATTCCTGTCTTTCTGTCGTTGCGAAACCAAGACATCCCAGGTATTGCTAGCTCCTGGTCCGAGAACTGAGAAGATATCCAAGATCAAGGTATTCCTATCAGATGAACCTTATTAGCATTGCTAAGTTGACGTAGCTCATTCATTTTGTTTGGTAGACTCGCGGCGTTCATGCATAAGCAGTTTATGCTTCTTCCTGTTTGTCTGTATGAGCCTTATGTGAATAGACAGGCAGGCCCTGCCTTCTGCACGTTTTTTTATTATCAAGTCAGTCCACAAGTGGGACGATCAGCTCCGACTTGCATTTGTGCTTGGTCCTGGCTTCATATGGCCTGTCCGGGTGCATGTGGATTCCAGTTGGCAATCGACGTCTGTTGGCACGAAATGCTTCCAGAGTTGCAGCCGCCATATTGGAGGATGGGAAAGTTATCCTCATTAGCCGGGGTCTAGAATCACCGTCCTTCTTGGCTAGTCTCGTCAGATGTTGAGTCAGTATGTTTTTGAGCCTCAAGGACTGTTTGATGAATTTCCGTTCCCTAATATCAGAGTTTGCTTGACTAGGGTCCTTGTTTTCCGATACACCTTGCACAATAATATTTCTTCTGCGAAAAATCTTCCGAGATTCTTTAGGTATGTTCCGGATGAAATTGCGCTCAGAATACGTTATGTTGGGCAGTATCCTTACGTTCCCAACGAATTTCAGTAAATGACTAGCTAGCAGGACATCATCTACGTCGGTAGCATTCTCAAGTGTTACACGAAGTAGCCTCGGGTGATTTTGATGCTTAGATTCCTTTCCCCGAGTGAGCCGTGTGACTGTCAAAGTCTCTGTTCTAGGAAGTTCAAGTTTCTTGTCCAAATTCACCCCAGAGCATCCTGTCATTTTTGTCCTGCAGACTGAGAGGAAGGTCAGGGTTGTATTGGGGGTTCGTGATTATGAAAGAGCCATCACGAGCCGTTATTGTTTTCCCATGTTTTCCGGTGCGTTCAGGTTCAGCACCTTGTTGTTTGGAGGTCGAAGCACGTTTCTGAATCCTAGGCTTTTTGATGACCAGGCGGACATTCTTGAGAGTAGACTGTGAGATCAAATCACCAGTTGACTTCCGTACAACACTTGAGGTGTTCAGCTTACACGGGGACGCCTGGTTATTTTTAGCTCTGTTAACGTGGGTCCAATCACCCACAGAGTTTTTGAGAACCACTGTTGCATTCAGGGACCCGAGTTTACTAAGGGAGTCTATTGCCATCAACATAATGATGGTGCTGAGTTTTAATATGTCATCATTAGTGCTAATGCATGGTCCATCAGCGGTAGACCTTTCGACATCCTCATTCTTGTTTTCGTTGCGCGCCCTTGTTTGTCTACCCGTTTTATGACTGTCTTTTTCCAAGTTTACTAACAACTTATTCCACAGACCTTTCAATAGTACAACGACGTTACTCAGCCCTTCAGTGTTCAATGTCTTTGTGACAAGCCGGAGTAAATCAAACCAAAACCCAATATACTTGTGACGAGATTTTATAAACCAAGTAACTCCTTGGCTCTCAATTTTTGTCTTTTCGGTAGCGTTAGGGGATTTTTGGAGTGTTCAGTGAACGGTAGTCTAACCATCCGATTCCACTAATTATAGTTTAGTAGTTAATTGTTGGTATGTATATCTTGTAGTCTAAGTAAGTGCTTTTGTCTCATTTCAATACACAAAATCACTATTTACTGGAGTACAAGGAAGATCTAAGGCATCACACAACTATGGGGAACAAATATGTAAAGATGCCACAAGTATTCGGAGTTTGACAATGGCCTAACTATTAACACATTTATAATCGAAATATACCAACCCAGTCATATCAGAAGTCAGAAGCGAAGACGTTCGAAGATATAGTTGATAGAATACGGATATATTTAAATGTGACCAACTTGGTCTCGTGTGCTGTTACGGGTATGAGGGAAGCGAAAGCAAGAGAGATGGAAAAGACAGCGGCAATAGGTAATAGCAGACAATTGTTCAGACTTGTTAAGGACATATTATACATTCTCAATCCGGGATATTGGATCGGTGGGCAGAACACTTTAGGGATCAGTTCAACTGGCCTACAGCCACACTTCGGTTTCCCACGATCTCTAGTCAACCTGAATGGCAAGTTAATGTAAGTCTT